TTTTGACTGGAAGCCTGAGGAACATGTACTGAAGGATATTAAGGATATACTATCAAAAGTATCTGGTAAACTACTGATCATTAAGTATATTGAAACCTCCACTTCAATATGTGTCACTTGCTCCTTTCCTTTCTCTGATGTTGGGTTTACTGTATTGAGGATGATAGAGAATATTCATATACTAATGGGACAAGGATTAAAGAAACTGACTATTGGTAACTTAACATTATGGAGGAGACAAGATGTTAGACAAAAGGTACATGTACATTTACATTTGTGCATTAATAGTTGACTACATTGTACAGGAACTAAAAGAAAAGGATCAAGATTCATTACAACATACAGATGTCAGTGTACATTTTAAAATCATAAATTATTCCCATGCAATTTAAGACATTATTTTTACACTAAATTTTTCATGCATGTATATTTAGGTTATTTCTTATATTATACTTGAAGTAGCTGAATATGAACTAAGAGATGCTATCAGTAGCAAAGAGAAGGTATGCCATTCATGTACCAGATGGTTGGATATCTTGTACTTATAATAGGAAACAATTAAATTAAAACAAGAACTATCAGTGATGAAAGTACTGGAGGTTAGCTATTACCGTATAGGCATAGGCATAGCCAGGATTGTAGACGGGGGTGGGCCAATTGGCGTGCAAAGCGTGCTAGAAAATTTTGGCCATCTAATTAATTATTCATAGTAGGTGTGGTCTTACATTTTAATTAGTTATTAGGACAAAAATGCGTAAAAAAATCTTCTAAAAATCATCTAACTATTCCGTGAGTGTATGGTGAGTATGGTCTCTGACTGTGTACAAGTCTGATTTGCTCCTGCTGGTGATGCAGTAAAGAATACTCTAATTCAACATGTTAGTGCAATTATTAAATTTTAATTAATAATGGTAGTCACACCCATTCTTGAAATTTTAGGCAATGGCCCTGTATGGCCCACTTGTGGCTACGTCTATGTATATAAGGGTTTTATTTTGTTGGTGTAAAATTTCATGAATTTTTTCAGATTTTCCAATTTGTTGGTATAAATTTTTGCAAATCTTACCATCTGCGGCCATTTTTTAGCCTGCCACACCTCTTTTGTGGAATTTATTGAAAAAGTGAAATTAGCAAAATTGATTTCCTGTGAAATATAGCCCCTATATGGTATTGCACTATCAATAATTATAAAGTACATATACGAAACTTTTGTCAGTACTTGTAATCTTAAATATTTCATTGCATATAATTATTTTACTAACAATTCCATCTTTACCACATATTTTACATATGGCCTAGCTTGCATATGCTACATGTATCTGTATTTGTGAGTGCATGAGGTCTGTAAAGGCTGGTTTACATAAAAATGGATTGCGTTTTGTTTACTTGCATTGTGACCGGAGGTGCTGTAGAAACAAATGGACACCCATGTCAAAACGTCAGAATAGACTCGCAATCTATCCTGACGTACTGATGCACCCTGCCATTTGTTTATATAGCACTTCCGGTCGCAATGCAAGACCATGCATCATTATGTAAACCAGCCTTTAGTCATTTTGCCTTGCTACTTGTATGTGTTGATGTTTCATTACCGTACGCGTCTTAATTTTTGAGGTGTATTAAATTTCGTCATTTTCATGCTCAACTTAAATCCACAAAATTTAAACCACCTCTAATGCCATTCTATTGTATGTAGACTATGGCCAGAACATGAAAATTAGCTCACATGAATATTAAATTTTGGGCAAATTTCATTGAAAACACAAAATTTTGAACCCTCAAAAATTTGAACGTATACAGTAGTTTTTTTTGTGTTGACTTATCAGATATTTTCAGTAATACTGTACTTTGTAGCTGGAATTAATTGGTGGATTGATTGGTAGTTGCAGTAAACATCTGCAAATATAGAACCTGCCATCTTGTCTCATTCTGAGCATGCTCAGCGAATTACTGGGATTGATTATAAAACTTGCCAATTGAAAATTGTACAAATTTAACTTCTGTAATATTTTCAGCTGTACTGTATGATAATATTTTAATTATTAGGAAGAATCATTGTCTGTTCAAAGTGATACTGAATCAATTAAAGAAGTTGAGGTATATCTCACTAGTTTGTATTAATTATAATAATTATTAATAGGAAGAACCACTTTATGAAGAATTGACTGTATTTAGTTCTCAATTTAATGAGATAAAAGAAAAAAACAAAGAACTGACAGACAAATTGTCAAAAATGAAGGTTGATTATTTGAGATCACTTTCAGTTTCTAGTAATACTGATTCAGGTTAGAATAGTTTTATTAAGTATATACTAGTTATAATGATTAATTAAAGCTGCTAGCAAAGTGAGAGGAGGAATGTCTTTTGAAATTGATGACTGCAAATTTCATCTTAAAGCAATGACAAGACCAGACTATCAGCCATTAGTAGATAATAAAAGAATTATAGAGAAATTACGAGAAAGAATAACATTAATGAATATTGAACTAATGACTGAAAGAGAACACAATGAGAAGATTATAAAAGATATTGAAGGTTTTGGTGTCATCATTTGATTGGTGATATAATTATTAATAGATTTGAAAGATAAAGAGACTGAGGATCCTGCAGGAGATAAAGTGACTAGTGATGAAGAGATTGAGTATAATAGTATGAATGATGAATTTAAGGATCAAATTTGTTCAGTAAGTGAAATCAGACAATGATTAGTACTGTTTTCTATTAGTTCACATTGTATTGTAATCATCCTGTTACTGGAAAATTTTTGGAGTCAATACTTGAAGTACATAAAGATGAATTACTACTCACAGTACTGGATAAAGCTTATGAGGTTTATTATTTTTTGTTAATTTTTATTTATTCTTTCATTTTTTCATTTCTATTCTCTTCATTCCTTAATCAGTTAATGAAATTAGCTCCCCATATTCCTATTGAGAGATGTCGTTTAGTTAAATATTCTTATGATGATGATTTAATGGAACAGTCCTTTGATCTTGATGAGGTACAATTAAGTTTTGTGTATCCTGTTAGGGCTGTGAGGTATACCGGTATTTCTATATACCGCGGTATTACTTTTAGATATAGAAGGTATATATTTAAGTTTCAACGGTTTTGAATATAGTATCACCTACTAAAACCGACGTTATACCGTCAATACCGAAATTAGATACCGTAAATAACGGTATATACGGTACGTTAGTAGTGCCACGTGTTACCTTACCTACCGCTCGACGAGTGTCATGGATGATCTCTTTGTGCTTTCCGAAGAACACTGTCACTATCTACCAAAACCTGGAGGAAAGAGTGAGGTGTGGAAGTTCTTCGGTCTAAGAAAAGACGCAGAAGGCATGGCTATTGACGACGGGACAGTGTTCTGTAAATCTTGCAACCGCGCAGTTGTTGCTCGAAATGGCAACACGTCTAACTTGAGAGCTCACTTAAAAAACAATCATAAAAGTCTTTATAACCAATTGGGCCAGGGCTCATCAGGAAAGCAAGTAGCTGTGACAGAAAGACAAGAGCCAATAGTCAACTCTATACTAAGAAGTCAGCCGTATGGTCATCAAAGTAAACGGTACAAAGATTTGAATACTGCCATTGCACGATTCCTCTGTAAAGATGGTCTACCAATTTACACAGTTGAAAAAGAAGGATTTAAAGAACTAATTAGGACACTTGATAGTCGGTATGAGCTACCAAATAGATCTCATTTCACACGAAATATCATACCTGAGCTGTATTCATCTACAAAAGAAAAGGTTGCTAGAAGATTGTGTAGTGTGAAATACTTTGCAGCTACCACTGATATTTGGTCAAGCATTGGATTAACTCCCTATATCAGCTATACTCTACATCACATAACGCAAGACTGGGATCTCGAGTCAATTGCTCTCTCCATTAGCTTTCTACCTGATGACCATACAGCTGAAGTGATAAGTGATGCTTTGGAAGACACTCTTCAAGAATGGAAACTTTCTGCTGTCAAGCAAGTCTGCTTAACCACTGACAGCGCTGCTAACATGGTTTCTGCTGCCAGAAACTTAGGGTTGACCAGAATATCATGCTTTGGCCACAACTTACATTTAGGAATAACAAAAGCACTGGACAAGGACAGAAGATGTGATAGAGCTATAGGTGTCGCCAAAAAGATAGTCAGCCATTTTTCGTGCAGTTGGAAAAAAAGACGAGATCTTACCCTTGCTCAAGTAAATTTTAAACTTCCTCAACACTCTCTAATATCTGTAAGTGATAATGTACATGTACAATACCAGTATTGGTATGCGTGCAACCATGCATTCACAACAATACACTACATATAGTACTACATTATGTCATTACTAACACTAACTAACATGAAACACCTGTAGCTTATCTTATTTATTGTTTTCTCTTGTACTAGGATGTTAAAACCAGGTGGGGTACTACACAAAAAATGATAGCTAGGATTCTAGAGCAACAACAGGCCATCACATTTGTTTTGAGCTCTGACAGAAAATCATCTCATCTTATTCCTTCTTGGCAGGACATTGATGTCTGGGGTGCTATTAATGAAGCTCTATCACCATTAGCTGATTTTACAGATATAATGTCTGGAGAAAAGTATGTCACTGGTTCTTCGATTCTGCCCATTCTGAGTCTACTTAAGTCTTCAGTTTTAAAAGCAAATCCTAATGATAAACCCATGGCAAATGAAATACGTTCTGCCATACTATCAGATCTATCAAATAGGTATGTTGAACCAGAAGTTACTACTATTTTGGAACTAACTTCCATGATTGATCCTCGTTTCAAAGAAAAGCATGTTTCAAATCTCAAAGAAGTTAAGAGCAACATTTGTGAAGAAGCAGTGAAGATATTTAAGGAGGAGACTGAGCAGCCAACTGAGCCAAGTGAGCTTACTAGTTCAACACCATCAGCATCAACAGACAGCTTACCACCACCTGCAAAAAAGAAGAAAGTTACACTAGCAACTCTGTTTAAAGAGCATAATTCTGATATAGCTGATTCATTATGCTTAGATATATCCCCTGAACAGAAAGTTCAAGCTGAACTTACTAATTATCTAAGGCAACCAAAATCAGATATTGAGAAGAATCCTCTGAAGTGGTGGAGGGAGCACAAGACTGTATATCCTCTCCTGTCAGGTGTTGCTCGTAAATACTTATGCTTTCCTGCCACAAGTACCCCCTCTGAACGACTCTTCAGTAGGAGTGGCAGGATTGTGACACCATTTAGAGCCTCATTGAAGCCAGACACGGTGCAACAGCTAGTTTTTCTGTCGGCAAATCTTGACCTTTAAAACCACTTACATGCATGCATCACTTACATTCAAAATTAAAAGATTGAGATTAAATTATTAAAATTATCAGATTTTTAGTAAATTATTTGATTTTTAGTAAATTATTAGCTTTTAATTAAAATTATTAACTAATTTAAAATAAATCACTATATTTAGTAATACCGGGGTATTTTGTCATTACCGTACCGAGGTATCACTACATTCAATACCTCACAGCCCTACTTCGTACATAACATACATCTTGATTTAATTTTCTTATAGTGCTTTAATAGTACTAATACAAGTTGCTTCTATACTGCAGGGCCATCAGACATCAGTCTGCATTTCAGATCCTGGAGCTCTATCCTCTACTGCCATTGAAAGCACCTATGTATATTGGAGATTGGGAAAAACTGAGGTTAAAAGATTGCCTTTAGCCTGCCATCCCATAATGTCATAGGATTTTTCACCATGTAAAATCCAATGAGTAGAATGCCAGAGAATGTTCCATGATTAAATAAACCAGTAAAGGAAAAACAGATGATAGAGGAGCTCACTGAGTTAGGAGAGAGGGTGCCAGGTTATAGAATTGACTTAAAATAGAGCACAAGTGGTTGATATACATGTTCCTGCTATTATTGTCAAAGTGAAACCAATCACTCTCTTCCACCACTACCACAACCACCTAGTGGTGGAGCCAAGTGAGTGAAACTTAAATCCAAGTGAGGAGGATGATTCAGGTACTTTCGGCTCCACTCATTCCCTCTCTTCCAATAATGGGAAGGACGAAGAATTAGATGCAACCGTACAGATTGAAGAACCAGGTCCAGAAGCTGAACGAATTGTTCGAATCTTTCACAGAGATAACGAGGTTCTCTTTCTAGTTAAATAGTATGAGAATGGGCAGACAATACTTCATTACTGTAACAGTGCACGGTGTTGGGCCACATTTTGCCAAACATAAATAGGTATATACTTCATTTTAAAATTTTCCTGATTGCTAATTTTAATTTGATTAAGCATTAGTCATTGTTATGAGTGACTGTTGTCTAT